ATCAGTGTTTTTCAGAATCAAGTTTCAACAAAACCTACGGCTAAAACTATTTCCAACTCACCTGGAGCAGATGTCAGTGTCTTTGGACCTTTTTGCTGGGTATCAGTAAGCATGTCGCTGGTTGAAGACAAACCCTTAATGTGTTCCTACACAAGTGTAATTAAGATTTACTGTTTACTAGGAAAAAAGATAATAATATCCACCTTGGCGATTTCTAAAATGGCAGTAATATGTCTTATCTCAATGGAACCAGAGAAGTGAGAAATAGTGGTAGAATACGATAGGAACATCTTACCAGCCTCAAGAAATCGTCATGTTTTCTGTCCTCCTATTCAATGTCCAATATATAACTCCACCCGAAGTGGAGCAGTCCAAAGAAAACAACCAATCAAGAATAAAACAGAGAAAGTACTAGCGACGCAATCGCAAATTGGCAAAAAAAAAGACACCACGTTTCAAAATAACAGTGATAAAATATTGATATCTGAATTCTGTTTCTCAACTGTGGCCTAGAAAAAAAACACACAACAATTTTTTTCTCTTCTGCTAGCTTCTTCTTTGATCACCTAAAGCAGACACAAATCTCGTAAAAAGTTCGTTAAGTGCTATGATAAATAGACATGCGTCATTGAAGGAAAATATACTTAAAGGCTGACGTTATACCTGTAACTTAAACTCTTCAGAAACAGGGGAACCGTTTACGACAGATTCTTGAGCATCCTTACAACGGTCAGTTCCATCTTTAAATTGGAAAATGTTGATTACAATCCTACCCAATGAACCTGCTTAGGGATTAATCCTAATATGAAGAAAGGAAAAGAAAAACAAACAACATTCAAAAAGTTTATGGGAACGAACTATTATTCATTCAGTACAAGTCTTGAGAGATTAGAAAAAACTCAAATGTCAGATACAACCCTCAAAAACAAACTCTTACCCATCAGTACTCTACCTTTCGCATCTCTAGCAACCAGTTGCTCGACGTTGGGCATTGTTACTTTAGGAATTTTACCACCTAAGGAGATATTGATGTTCCAGCAGAATAACCATAACTTTACAATAATAGTCATAGAAATCTACAACCTACGGTGAAATCAGAAGTCAATCTCCAAGAATCACGGGATAGCATCCCGTAAAAAGACAGATTTTTCATACAAAAATGCATATTGCAACGCACAAGAGAGTGATTTAAACCACCTACCTCAAGGAATGTATAAAAACCAGTCATACGGAATAAGAACCTTTGTACAGAAAAAAGAAGAATGGAAGTGAAAACTACCTAGAGTTCTAAATTAGCACAGAAAGAACAAGAACAGGAAACAAGGCAAAGACACACAAGATTTATCTCAGCCACGAATACGATACGTACAATTTATTACATTACTTACAAAGATTGTCCGAGCATCAACATCATCCACAGGGCAGATGTTTGTCGAAATTCCAGCAAACAGTAGAGCATCTTAGACCAACACATGGTGCAAAAGATATCAGTGTTTTTCAGAATCAAGTTTCAACAAAACCTACGGCTAAAACTATTTCCAACTCACCTGGACCAGATGTCAGTGTCTTTGGACCTTTTTGCTGGGTATCAGTAAGCATGTCGCTGGTTGAAGACAAACCCTTAATGTGTTCCTACACAAGTGTAATTAAGATTTACTGTTTACTAGGAAAAAAGATAATAATATCCACCTTGGCGATTTCTAAAATGGCAGTAATATGTCTTATCTCAATGGAACCAGAGAAGTGAGAAATAGTGGTAGAATACGATAGGAACATCTTACCAGCCTCAAGAAGAAATCGTCATGTTTTCTGTCCTATTCAATGTCCAATGTATAACTCCACCCGAAGTGGAGCAGTCCAAAGAAAACAACCAATCAAGAATAAAACAGAGAAACTACTAGCGACGCAATAGACACCACGATTCAAAATAACAGTGATAAAATACTGATCTCTGAATTCGGTTTCTCAACTGTGGCCTACAAAAAAAACACAACAATTTTTTTCTCTTCCGCTAGCTTCTTCTTTGATCACCTAAAGCAGACACAAATCTCGTAAAAAGTCCGTTAAGTGCTAAGATAAATAGACATGCGTCATTGAAGGAAAATATACTTAAAGGCTGACGTTATACCTGTAACTTAAACTCTTCAGAAACAGGGGAACCGTTCACGACAGATTCTTGAGCATCCTTACAACGGTCAGTTCCATCTTTAAACTGGAAAATGTTGATTACAATCCTACCCAATGAACCTGCTTAGGGATTAATCCTAATATGAAGAAAGGAAAAGAAAAACAAACAACATTCAAAAAGTTTGTCAGAACGAACTATTATCCATTTCAATGCAAAAAAAAAAAAAAAGAAAAACAAATCAGTATACAAGTCTTGAGAGCTTAGAAAAAACCCAAATGTCAGATACAACCCTCGAAAACAAACTCTTACCCATCAGTACTCTACCTTTCGCATCTCTAACAACCACTTGCTCGACGTTGGGCATTGTTACTTTAGGAATTTTACGACCTAAGGAGATATTGATGTTCCAGCAGAATAACCATAACTTTTACAATAATAGTCATAAAAATCTACAACCTACGGTGAAATCAGAAGTCAATCTCCAAGAATCACGGGATAGCATCCCGTAAAAAGACAGATTTTCCATACAAAAATGCATATTGCAACGCACAAGAGAGTGATTTAAACCACCTACCTCAAGGAATGTATAAAAACCAGTCATACGGAATAAGAACCTTTGTACAGAAAAAAGAAGAATGGAAGTGAAAACTACCTACAGTACTAAACTAGCACAGAAAGAACAAGAACAGGAAACAAGGCAAAGACACACAAGATTTATCTCAGCCACGAATACGATACGTACAATTTATTACATTACTTACAAAGATTGTCCGAGCATCAACATCATCCACAGGGCAGATGTTTGTCGAAATTCCAGCAAACAGTAGAGCATCTTAGACCAACACATGGCGCAAAAGATAATCAGTGTTTTTCAGAATCAAGTTTCAACAAAACCTACAGCTAAAACTATTTCCAACTCACCTGGAGCAGATGTCAGTGTCTTTGGACCTTTTTGCTGGGTATCAGTAAGCATGTCGCTGGTTCAAGACAAACCCTTAATGTGTTCCTACACAAGTGTAATTAAGATTTACTGTTTACTAGGAAAAAAGATAATAATATCCACCTTGGCGATTTCTAAAATGGCAGTAATGTGTCTTATCTCAATGGAACCAGAGAAGTGAGAAATAGTGGTAGAATACGATAGGAACATCTTACCAGCCTCAAGAAATCGTCATGTTTTCTGTCCTCCTATTCAATGTCCAATATATAACTCCACCCGAAGTGGAGCAGTCCAAAGATGAGCATCCTTACAACGGTCAGTTCCATCTTTAAATTGGAAAATGTTGATTACAATCCTACCCCATGAACCTGCTTAGGGATTAATCCTAATATGAAGAAAGGAAAAGAAAAACAAACAACATTCAAAAAGTTTATCAGAACGAACTATTATCCATTTCAATGCAAAAAAAAAGAACAAAAAAATCAGTATACAAGTCTTGAGAGCTTAGAAAAAACCCAAATGTCAGATACAACCCTCGAAAACAAACTCTTACCCATCAGTACTCTAACTTTCGCATCTCTAACAACCACTTGCTCGACGTTGGGCATTGTTACTTTAGGAATTTTACCACCTAAGGAGATATTGATGTTCCAGCAGAATAACCATAACTTTACAATAATAGTCATAGAAATCTACAACATACGGTGAAATCAGAAGTCAATCTCCAAGAATCACGGGATAGCATCCCGTAAAAAGACAGATTTTTCATACAAAAATGCATATTGCAACGCACAAGAGAGTGATTTAAACCACCTACCTCAAGGAATGTATAAAAACCAGTCATACGGAATAAGAACCTTTGTACAGAAAAAAGAAGAATGGAAGTGAAAACTACCTACAGTACTAAACTAGCACAGAAAGAACAAGAACAGGAAACAAGGCAAAGACACACAAGATTTATCTCAGCCACGAATACGATACGTACAATTTATTACATTACTTACAAAGATTGTCCGAGCATCAACATCATCCACAGGGCAGATGTTTGTCGAAATTCCAGCAAACAGTAGAGCATCTTAGACCAACACATGGCGCAAAAGATAATCAGTGTTTTTCAGAATCAAGTTTCAACAAAACCTACAGCTAAAACTATTTCCAACTCACCTGGAGCAGATGTCAGTGTCTTTGGACCTTTTTGCTGGGTATCAGTAAGCATGTCGCTGGTTCAAGACAAACCCTTAATGTGTTCCTACACAAGTGTAATTAAGATTTACTGTTTACTAGGAAAAAAGATAATAATATCCACCTTGGCGATTTCTAAAATGGCAGTAATGTGTCTTATCTCAATGGAACCAGAGAAGTGAGAAATAGTGGTAGAATACGATAGGAACATCTTACCAGCCTCAAGAAATCGTCATGTTTTCTGTCCTCCTATTCAATGTCCAATATATAACTCCACCCGAAGTGGAGCAGTCCAAAGAAAACAACCAGTCAAGAATAAAACAGAGAAAGTACTAGCGACGCAATCGCAAATTGGCAAGAAAAAGACACCGAATAAGAACCTTTGTACAGAAAAAAGAAGAATGGAAGTGAAAACTACCTAGAGTTCTAAATTAGCACAGAAAGAACAAGAACAGGAAACAAGGCAAAGACACACAAGATTTATCTCTGCCACGAATACGATACGTACAATTTATTACATTACTTACAAAGATTGTCCGAGCATCAACATCATCCACAGGGCAGATGTTTG